AGGGAATACAAGGATTCTCGCAAACCACCTACTCCTAGTTGAAAAGCACTAGGATTGGGTACCACCACGTTGGCAAAGTCGTTATTGTTGCACAGTAGCAGACAATGAAGTTACGATTATGACAAAAACGACATGCGCAGAATTGCAAGTTTTTGGCCAACACTTTGATTTCCTAAGGAACTCATGTACATAGCCTTCATTCGACTGATTTCTAAAAGCCTCTCTATAGAACTTTGATATAAATTCACAGACTTTTTATTAAGACTTCTTTTCGGGATTGATATTGCCTGTTAACAGTATACGTGCGTTTCGACGGGTCCGCCCGTCTCATCAGTAGCACACGCTCCTTAGTGAGAGTAGCAAAAGGGGGAATATTCCACAGTGCACATAAGGTGAAATATCATTTTTAGTCGATATTTTAATGCCGGCGCTTAACAAGCACTGTGGCATGTCGCCCTTTGCCACTCCCAGTTAAGAGCGTGTGATGCTGGTGAGACGGGTCAAGCCGTCCAGCACGCATGCCGCTAACATGCAATATCAGACATCGAAAAAAAGCCTAATAACAAGTGTACGAAAATTTTGAACGTTGAAGATATCGTCGAAGTAGTGACAGCGCTGAAAACAGATAATGTGGTAACAAAGATAAGCGGTAGGACTAAGTGTGAGGGAAACCTTGTTCTCGTTAAACTTGTTCCGTAATAAATCAGCGATAATCGCTCTTCGACTATGGTAATCCGATTATCTGGAATATCACACTTCTTAGTAAGAGGATATACTGGTTTTTTCAGTACTTTCTTTTACCTTACACTCCAGCAAGCGACAGAAGTGCATTGACAGTGATGTGGATCATCGCTAGCTCGGTACTGCTTTGACCTGCTGCGGGTTTATCAAGTCTTTCGTGTTCCAGTGGTCGAAGGTCAAACTTGTATAGGGAATTTTCACTCCTTGGAGCCCAAATCGATAGTTTAATCTAGGCAGGAAAACTCAGCTTGACCATTATTCACTGACAATTATGACGGAAAAAAGTCCACTAGGGAACATCCGAGCTCAAGCACGAAAACGTGAACGACTTTTTTGGACAACGGATGCGAAGAAACGAAAAAAAAAAAAGAAAGTACTGCGATTCGCGCACTAGGTGTGACAGCTCGTGTGAAATACAAAATTATAAGAACTTAGAATTTTTCGTGGTGACGTCCTTTTAAAAAACTTTTTATCGCCACTATCACGTTTTATCATTTTTATTCCTGCTTCCAAAAAAAAAATTTTGGTACTTTGCCGTCTTTCGTTCCGTCTGAACCCCTTGAAAAAAAAACGTTTTTTTTGGTTATTTTCGCTGCTTAGGTAATTATTCGAAAGCATAAATCAGAAGAATTCGAATGGTGTCTTTCATTTTCATAAAGGCTTTGTTATCATTCTAAAAGAGCAAAACTAAAATTTTGCTCCTCATTCAAACAATTCTAACTGGTCAAAGCATTTCTTTCAGAGTATCAATAACAAATCGACATAGCAAATTTTGAGGATTCTAATGATTTATTTGCTTTTAAAATGAAATTTTCGTTACGCTGTAACAGCCAAAATAAGACTGAGTTTCGCAAAACTGGATTGTTTCCGTTATCCGTGCCCTGTTTCTACCATCTAAAAAAAACGCATTTTTTGGTCGTCTTCAATGTTTGATTGATCATTCAATAGCTTAGATCAAAAGATTTGAATGGTTTATTATTTCTTTGTTTCTCATTCAAATTACTTCGCTGACCAGAGCTTTACTTAAGGAGTTCTAAAATTAGTCCATAGATCGAATCCCAAAGTTAGCTTAGGATGTGTCTTAGCAGAAGAAGCTTCTTCAAAACATGCTTGTAAATGTCGCCAAAAAGTCTGTGGACTGAACTGAAGCTTTATTCGGTGACCTTTTGAGCACAAACGTTCGGTTAGCAACACGCCATTTTTGTAGGGAACATGATTGCGTCTTTTTCAACACTTAGTAGGCAAAAAGGTTCATCATTTAGGAAAATTGATGAAAACCAGCAGAAAACAATTGAAATTAATCGATGTGCAGTGAATTGGTACGCTTGTTGCAAATCTTATTCGCATACAGGCAAGAGTGTATTGGCTCGGCGCCAATATGACAAAATCGTGTCCACGTACCTCCGAAGCGTGGTGGCTTAAAGCCAACGTCGAGCCGCGCGGAGCTCAACATTCTTTTGGCCGCTACGGCGCAAAAATAGTTATTTTCACAAACCATGAACACTATCGGAATTGGCAAGTTTTAAGCTGTAAGACTGCTAGAAACTTAGAAGCAAGAGCTTTGTTCAGCAAGAAATTTTTGAATGAGAAGCACAATTTTACTTTTGCTTTGCAGCGCAGTAGTACAGCCATATTGAAAACAAACCGTTGTATTTTTTGAGATTTGAACTGTTACATGACTACTGAAACCAGAAGAAAAATTTTCTTTTGGCTGTTCAAACACATTAGGAAGTCCGTTCAAAAAACCACAAAAATTGCTGGGATTCCTGAAATTTGATCTGTCGACTGGAATTTGATTCGTTGTTAAAACTTCAAAGAAGAAACTATGGTCGACGAGAAGTGTTTGAATGAGGAAAAGAATTCAGTTTTCGCTCTTTAAGCACAATTATAAAGCTTTTTGAGAATAAAATAGGCCTTTGAATTCATTTGATTTAAGCTACGAATGATTACTTAACTATCAAAAACGACCAAGAATGAGCTTTTTCTTTAGGGTCGAAACAGGGCACGGATAACGGAAGAATACTAAAGTTTGTAAATGTGATTTTGAATTTGTCTTCTACTTCTGCACATACCATTAGTAGTAACGTTATTTTCAGCATCACTAACAGCCTCGTCGTCACCGGAAAGACAACTAACTTTATTCTATTCTGCCTCTCATCCGAGAATTTTCGCCGAAAATGTTTCATTCTGATATTTCGGAAGTTTCCACGGGTATGCTGTTTTATCGCCCATTTTCATATCTGTACCTTGTATTTTGTCAAGACGAAAAGCCATTGACCGAGAGAAATCATGAATACCACCTCATAGTTTGAAATCTGGCTTTTTTTTTACAGTTTTTCGAAGTAATGTAGGTACCACTAGTTTCTAATAGCAAGAGCTATGTTGAACAAAATCAGCTGCGTTTCCGATGCTGTTTCAGTGAGAACATTTCAATGGTTGCATTTGACAATTTTTTGACTGTGAAAAATCAGTTCTCATAAACTTCTAGGGTTACTGAACACCCCACTAGTACATGACGAGAAGTGTTGAGAATGCCACTATATGAACTTTTCTAGTATGTTGTGGATCATTCATAGTTTCCAGTTATCACAGAGCAGTATTGGGCAACGTCTCTGCACGTATACAAGAAGCAGTTCAACAGACGTGCGCGGTTCATTGCGCACAATACGATCATATCGACGCAGCTCTGTGCCAGTGATCCGAATACAAGGAAGAAATGAACACCTACGTGATAGTGAGACTCTTATGGTGAAACCGCAGTAGGTTGTACATAGTTTGCATTCTAACAATAATTATCCTTCACTGACTTAAGAGATAATCAAGTGATATCGCTCATCGCTGCTCCAGTTTTTTATGTAGGCTTTTCATGTCTTAATGACGAAATCACGTGTAATTTTTCATGCGCTTGTGATTGCCAGCACTTTTGGCTTGCTTTTCACACGATTCAAACCCTTTGGGGACGGTAGTAGTTCGGTCGCGCAGTGCGATTCGTAGGCAGAGCGCGATTTTTGTTATTAAATCTTGAATATTTCTCCATTTTGATGAAAAATCTCAAGATTTTTGTGCTTGTCTGATACTCTATGATCATTTCTACACTTATACGGTCTTGTGCATATACAGCTATACAGCTCACATATACGGAAAACTCCAAGCGTGAAACGTACTCTTCTGTTCGTTTTCACAGAGCTCTATGGAAGCCCTCAAAAAATTGTTCAGTGCTTGAATCATCGACATTTGATTTATTGAGTGACTACCAAAAATTTACCGGAAAGTTGTCCAAGGACCCCAGTCAAGTAAGGAAATAAAATCGGGTGTGAAACATAATTTTGTTTCCGCTGCTACAAACCATTGGAAAACTTTTTCAAAAAGCGCAATTTTGAAAATCCCAAATTTAGGCTTTCAAATAATTTTTAAAAATATAAAGATTTGCTACGGAGAAGCGCCTTAAGAGAATCGTGTATCGTTTTGGGTACACGCCGTTCCGAAAGGGTTCATTATGCACAACGAATGTATCTTAATCACCACTCTGTAGTTCTACATGATGTCAAGAGAAAATGGAAAGCTTTCATGTGTATATGTAGCCATTCGTATTAAATATTTATTGTAATAAATACTTTGCTTTCGAGTTTTAAATTCTGTATGTTGTTTGTCGTCGATCGCATGATTTCACCAAGTCCTAAAAAAACATCTTTTCTTGGTTAGAAAGCACTGAAATATTTGCGTGAATAATGAGCGGTTCGACCTTCACAATGTGTTGCTTGGACTTCGTAGATATCCAATTTAATTGGTAATTTCCAAGTTTGAAAAGATTTTGTTCTTGGAGTTTAGCCACAATCGCGCTGGGGCTTTCTTAGTGCGTCAGTTTTTATGATTAGATACTTCTACCTCAGTTCCGTAGTAGAAACGTCAAACTCTTTGTTAGCATAGGAAATCCCTTTTGGCAATCAGACGCACCCAACTCTAATCAGCGGTTTGATTAATCGACACGTAAACACCAAACTTTGTAAAAGCTTACTCTTTAGATTTCTTATTAATCCTAGTATTCCATATATAAGAGCGGTTTGATTGTTTTAAGAAAGGACGAACAAAACATGCACGCTTTCACGTAATGAAACATTTTCTCAAGCTTTATTCCAAAAACAGGAGTAAATAAAAATTACAAAAAGTTGCTAGATTAGAAAAGACTTTACTTGACCACTTGTTGAGGTGTAACGATGTTACAATATACTCAATAGTGTAGAGTACCGTGCAAAAACGTTTGCGTCGGCCGGGATTCGAACCCAGATCTCACTCTTTCCGAGTGTGTATGGTAACCTCTGCACCACCAACGCTCGTTTTGCACAACACTCTTTCTACGTTACAATGCGTTATCTGTCAACAGCCTGCGGTCCGGCGGGGCCGTCACTATCGCACAGATAACGATGACAGATAATAAATTGTAGCGTGGAAAGAGTGTTGTGGAAAACGAGCGTCTTTGGTGCAACACTCAGCATACGCTCCCGGAAAGAGAGATCTGCGTTCGAATCCCGGTTAACGCAAACGTTTTAGCACAGTACTCTACACTATTGAGTTACTAAACTGTTAAAAAAAACTACTAAGTATAATTTTTCAAACACAGACTGCTTTTATCCATGAACTGCTCTTGTCTATGGAATTCTTAGAAAAATTTGTTCTTCCTAGATAAAATTGTCGAATTCGTTCTCAGCTTGGGCAACAACACTTTGCTTTACTTCATGCTTTGCTGTAATTCGAAGTCCGACACTTTATCTCTCCCTTCCTTTACTCTATACAGTTCGTGGCCTCACCTTCAAAAAATTGCACTTACCAAAATTTCAAAAATCTTGCGAAGTTTCGAGATTATCTAAGTAGTCCGATTTTCACACATTGATTCCTTTGACTTCCTACTGGGTGTAGATGGAGCTCCGTCCATTATTTTCATTTGTTTCTTTTTCGAACGCTGGGATCTGTAGATATATCGGGCTCTGCAGTGGGTCTGGACTTTCTCTCTTACTATTATACTGTTCAGTGTTCGTTAGAATCGTAAAAGGTCATATGAATTTCGAATTAGGCAAAAAATTTAGAGTGCAGAGGTAGTCTCATTTAGAGCTAAGGTGAAAATCATCAATCTTACGAGAGAGATTGACTTTCTATCATCCTCGGTATCAAAGTTAATTATTGATTTAACTATGAAAACTCAGCAATTTAGCTGACGTGAGGTTGGTAGACGACGTGGATGTTGTCGCTGTTGATTGTTGATTGTAGATCGCTGTACGGATAGCTGGCAGACGTTTCGACGACACCGCCTTCATCGGAGCCTGGACGTACATTGATATCAATATTTGAATGAGTCTGCAACCAGATCGATGCCTAAGCATCGCCCCTTGGATCAAGTCAGAATATTAAGCGCATGTAAGGTGCCAGGTCTTGTGTTACACTGACAAACTCATCTTTGCGCTTCGTTTTTTGAATTTTTAGCGTTTATCCAAAATGCTTCGACAGTTTTACGCGTTGATGTTTTGGATTTCCGCGCCAGGGTCGTGATATTTGCATCAAAATCACTGTTGTTGTGCTTTAGTGCCCTATGTAAACCTAGAGTTTTGCTTTTTTTGGCATTAGATTTCCCATATAGATGTTCCTTTACTCTCTAATGTAGTGATCTGCCCATTTTGCCAATATGCTCTTCCACGCATGCCTTACATGTTATTGAATATTTTGTGTCGGAACTCATGCTATCTCCCTTTCTCCCGTTGGGGCAGATTTTACAGTTTTCTGAGTAACAGAATTGATCAAGAGGCGGTTGAGGACCAGTTGACGGCCCAGGGTTGGGGATAGGAGTTCAAGCACTGTTACCGAACTTTTAAGACCACTTCTTTTTAGGCACCTCTTATTAGCGCAACTGACTTCGTTTGATATCAAAGGCAACTTAGAAGCGATCTTATTAAGGTGTGAGGTTTTCTCTTTGTTTTTCGATTTGGGGGGCCTGACCCTGTTAACTAAACTGACTTCAGTGGCTGGTACATCGTAATTGTAGCCGTTACATATGGTCATTTTCCGTGCTAAGTTTAACGATTCCTTCCTCTCCTCTTCTTCTGTGCACACATTACTTGCCGTTTGGAATATGCTTTTGGTTAGCGGTTTTTTTTTTTCGTGTGGATGGATGAGAGGAGAGGTGGTGAACTAGTATATCTTTGGTACTTAATTTACGGTGCCATTTTGTGCTGCCCACTTTTGAGAGTTTTACATAGGTATTTAAAAATGGTACCCAGTCCACTTTTGGACTTTCTTGTGTGAATTTAATAAACTCTGACTGCCCATTTAAGACCTCGAAACATTTGTCTATTGCCTCTCGTGTGGAACAGACAATAAAACAGTCGTCTGTGTATCGGCAGTAGAGTAGGGGCTCGCGAGTGAGGAGTGGAGCTTCAACTTTATACATGAACGCGATGGCTAGGCTTGGTGCTAGACGCTGTCCTATGGCTGATCACCTTATTTATGAAAAAGTATTCTCCTGACTACCTAAAAATTGAACGGCTAAGACACCGTTTTAAGAGAGCCATTACTTGTTGAATTTGCATTCAAACATATTGATATTTTGTTTATTTTCCACGAGCAATGCAACAATGACCTGCACTGCAGAGTTGGTATAAAGATAAGTGACATCAAGGACTCTATTACATACGAGTTGTTTAGCTGCAGGCATCGTGGGTCAGTATAATTTTCGTATTGGGTAAATGGGTTAGAATGAACTTAAGAAGCTGGATCAAAATGGGATCCAAAAACCAAGATATTTTATCTGTTGGTCCCCCTGTAAAACTGATAGTAGGTCTAACTTTGGATATTGATGGATCGCTTGAGGCAAGATCATCAGTTGACGTTAGTTTGTGGGTTTTGATGAGTAAATATAGACATTACAAACTGGATTATTGTTTTTAAGTCGAGTGATAATGGGAAATCTCATGCCGAAAAGTGGGAAATCCAGAATCTAGTAGCGAAAAAAGCAAACCTCTAGGTTTACATAGAGCACAAAAGCACAAGAATAATGATTTTGATGTAACTATCACTACCCTGGCGCTTGAACTCAAAGCATCATCCCGTAAAGACGAATGCGTCACTGTAACACGAGACCTGGGACCTTACATGTGCTTAATATTCTTACTTGATTCAAGGGCCGTGATCAGTCATTGATCTGGTCACCGACTCATACAAATATTGATAACAGTACGTCAGGCTCTAAAGAAGGCGGTGTCGCCGAAACGTTAACCAGCTATCCGTACGGCGATCTACAATCAACAATCAACACCGACAGCGCCAACACCGTCTACAAACCTTGCGCTAGCTAAACAACATCAATTTTACGTTGAGACAAAAAGGCGTTAGATAGGACTGGTATAGAAAGTAGAAGCACTTAAGCTTACTGACAACTGTACTTCAACTTTTTGAATTTTGGCCCCAATGGATTTTTTCCAATGTTTCGAAAATCTTTTACTCAGATTCGCTTATTCCAGAATAAAAAAGAAGCTGTAAATGTTAGCAAGACTTAGTAGAAGATGAAGAGGTCGAGTGCAATGCAGATTGTGCCATAAAACTGTTAAGCACAGAGAAATTTTTTACCATTTAGGATAGAATAACTTATAGAAGAAGATGATACGACTTAGATGAAAAATCTTGAAGATGGTTCTTTCAACTGTGCAATCTTTGCTTGAATCAAATTATCCAAGAAGTTGAAAGGTTTAGAAAGAATGAGTGTTGGACTTTTGCATTTACATATTATATATATATATATGTATTATATATATGTATATATATATATATCGAGGTCAAGTCCCTCCAATTTTCTGGTTAACTTCTTCTTGATTCACTACAAAAACACCGGAAATCTCAACAGTAACGTTAGTATCAAGAAAAGCTTTACTAGTTGTTCAGTGCACGCTAACACAAAGCAGCCCTCTTATAGTCAGCAGTCAGATATTAATTTACTGCGATATACTATCAAAAACCTAATATAGCCTTTGTGTAATAGGATCTTCTATTGTATTATTCCGAAGCGATGTTTACCTAATTAAAGCAAAAGTACCAGTCACAAACACACTCAGTGACACAGCCGGTGGTCCGTCCACCTACTCCACGAATCGTCATCGTTGTCCAGTGTCAAAAAAAATCTCTAGAAAATCCGTTGGCAAGGCAAATCTCTTCTTTCCCCGATCGCTGTACATTGGAAAACTTATCCGTGAGAATTTTTTTTTGCAAAACTGCGAAAAGTGCTTACAAGGATTGGATACTTGTTACATTCGGTTATCCGGGGACGGTTCTTTCTGATTAGGAGGATACAAACGAAAAAACCGATCTCATTCGCTGGCGAGGAACTTTTCATAGTAGTGTTAGTAATCATTCAAAACCTGAGACATCATGCTACAGCCCCACATCTCCAACTTTCAAAACACCTCTTCATCACGCTGTAGCATCCAGGTCAAAAATTATGTTTTACATTCGCCTTTCACCTTCAATTTTATCCGGCGTATATTCGCTGAAAGCCGAAAAGCATATCAATGTGCGGGGAAATTTTCTCAGTATCTTAGTCAATCGCTGTATCTGAAGTTTCTCTCAAAGCGGAGGAGAACTCGTTTTATTTGACTGCCACTTGCAATGGTATGATGCTATAGTATAACCAATAATGTGGAGTGCTGTGCAGAAACATTCATGTCGGCCAGGATTCAAACTCAGATCTCACTCTTTCCAGGAGCGTATAAGGGAAAAATACGTGGATTAAGAAACATGATTTTATTTTGAATGTTACAATGCTACAGAGGGATATTCTAAAAAACTCTGCAACGTAAACCTGTAGCCTGAGCTCTCAGTTTTCGAATATCTACTGAAAGTCCTATGAAAATTCCTCTGCAGTTAATGAGACCGGTTTTTTATTTGTTCCCTCCTCATCAGAAAGAACCCGAGGATAGATGAAAAACGACCTCACTCGCTGGACAAGGAATGTTCACAAAAGTGTTGACAAACATGCGAAAGGTTAATTCTCTGGCTAAAGCGCTATTTGGCCGATTTTGAAAAGACCCTTTCATAACACTGTAGCAGGCAAAATAAGATTGTACTTCACACCCGCCGCGGGACTTCAGTTTTTACCACGCTTTTAATTCGCTGAGAGCACGAGAAGCACATGAACGTGTAGAGGAATCTTTCAAGTGAAGAAACAATTGCTAATTGATTTCAAAAATCGCACTTTACATGTGATCAGTCGAGGCTGCCGTGTTGATCCGCAATATCCCTCCTGCTCCCCCCACTCACCCACCTCCGAGCCCTAGAATTGGTCAAAAAAAGCAAT